GAAACAAGTGTCTCCTTTCCTGCCTCCCAACAAAGCCCAAAGCCCTTGGTACAAGTGTGCAAGGCCTCTAGAGGCACGTGAGAATAGGGAATGACCCCAGTAGGGAGCATGACAGGTGAATCATTCCTTGCAACCATGTGGAGTGCACGCACTGCCACTGACAGAAGCAGAAGCAAAAGGGACAAGACAGATCTACTGACAACTTTGAACAGAATTAAAAAGGAAAGCTCTTATAAGTAAAATAATTGGTATTTGGGGACAAATTCCCTGCTGGCATAAGTAGTCTCAGCTCTTTGCTGGCATGTTGTTTATGCAAATGATGAATTCTATGAATGGTCTTGTTGCAATCTTTTTGGTTTTCAGTAACTAGTAAGGGGACATTTTAAAACTATAAAGATGATCTGTATGTCATTTGGGGAAACCTCTGATACCATGGAAAAAGGAACCCAGCTCCTTCCATCCCTTCACATGCTATAGGCACTCAATCTCTTATAAGTCACTTAACTTGCCAAACTAATAACCAATAATGCTTCCTCCACAATGAGTACCAATGTAGTTTCATCATGTATTCTAATTCATCAAAAAATAGCCAAGAGACACTGAAAATCTTATTTCACTCTAGAATAGTGATAGAAATGTAGCCGTGTTAGTCTGGGGTAGCTGAAGCAAAATGCAGGACAATGTAGCACTTTAAAGACTAACAAGATGGTTTATTAGATGATGAGCTTTCATGGGCCAGACCCACTTCCTCAGATCAAATAGTGGAAGAAAATAGTCACAACCATATATACCAAAGGATACAATTTAAAAAAATGAACACATATGAAAAGGACATATCACATTTCAGAACAGGAGGGGGATGCGGGGAGGGGGGGGAAGGAAGGAAGGTAAGTGTCTGTGAATTGATGATATTAGAGGTGGGGAGAGTGGGATGTTTGTGAGCTAATGGTATTAGAGGTGATAATTGGGGAAGCTATCTTGGTAATGGGTAAGATAGTTATTTCACTCTAATTATTCATGATTTATAGTGAAGCTTAATATTGTCTATTAAGTGTCTTTTCTGATTTGCTTAATAAATCAATGCACTAATCAGGTTCCACTTCTCTAGAAGTGTCTGGGTCTCTTATTTCAGCAATGATTAATTTAAAACCTTTTACAGGGTTTTTTTTAAACCACTTTATTATACTAGTTCTTTAGCTAGACAAAATATCAAAACAGATAGGTCCTTGCTATTGCTGTTATTTTATATATGTATATTTCTTTACAGGTCTTAGTGGATACCTCCTAACATGTAATTAAGAGGACTTTTATAAAATTTACTCAATGTGTATTTTAATTTTTAAATTCAATTTAAAACTCATCTAGTTTTACAGTCCCAAAATGCATACAGCCAAATAGCAAATGACTTATCTTAGTACTTAAACTAGAAAGCTACACCTTAAAATTTG